CCGAACCCTACCCAAGCATTTAGCTTGAAGGCGTTTGTTTTTGATAAACTGGGACCAAGTAACCCCTCCTTGGGCAGGTCTAATGTCATGAAGCTAAGGTCCCTGAGAATGTTTGCAAAGCTAGTAGTGACCCTACCCCTACTAGAGCATGTTCCATCTATGCAGGAGACCAGTACTTCATCATCCAACATTTTAGGCTCTTTGAGGTTCCCTATAATAACAATGGGGTACTAAAAACGTCTGAGCAGGTCATGAAAAGTCTCTAAAGAATGTTTATATTGTTTTTTGTTTGGTTCTCCATACATACAGATTAACATCCAAAGGGAAGCAAATGGACCTACCACCATTTTTAGACAAATGTAATTATGACAATAATACATGATAGAAATATCTAAGCCAGAATTACAGGCAACCAATAGTCCTCCTGCTATGCCAGTCGAGGGAACTTCAAAGGAATTGGGAAAATGCATAGTAGACAACAGTTTATTTACTTAGTTGGAGGAGGTCTTAGTTTCACCGAGAAATATTAGATTAGGGTTCCACCTAGAAACTAAGTTCTTTAGGCCTTGAATTGTTGAGGGCCTTCTATACCCATGACAATTCCAACTACAAAGCCTCATGACTTCATGTGGCTAATGGCTACTATAAGTCAACCACCACTGCCCACTTTATTAGAAGAGCACACAAACTCACTTGCTATAGTAGCTCGTGTTCTGTCCCTCTTGGAGCTTTCGTCGTCCCCAAGTTTCCATCTCCCACTAAAAGGCAACCACTCAAGAGAAAACACAAGAAACAAAGTAAGTTTCAAGACCAAAAGAAAAAAAGAGATCCGACAAAGTAAAAAGGTGGGTCCCCCATAGTCCCATTCTGTATCTTTTAAAAAGAGCCTATCAGTCCCCCAAACCCCTAGCTAAATCAAGATCTAAGATATGAATCCATGTTTCCGTTCTATGCCTCTTCCTTGAGCTACCACATGGCATCCCTTCCTTGTGCAAATGAAACATACCAGCCAATTTGTCATTTCGATGACGCAATCGAGAAAACCTCAAATCCAAAATCCTAGAGTCTTCCTTCAGCTCTTGGACTTCTCCATCCAGGCGACCTGTCATGTTACTCAAAACATCATTAATTTTCTTTCCACTTCCCTCTATTGCTGCACTCGAATGCTCTACCTCTACCATTATGTTCCATCCATCATTGCCCCAGCCTTCCACCTGCCATCTCCTAGCTTGAAACCTATCTCCCTAAACTAAACTATCCTCTCCTCTCCCCTAACCATTGTTTCCCTCTACTTCCAATAGGCATGGAGCAAAATTATGAAACACCGACTAGTGCCATTCTTCTTGCATCGGTTGCTCTGCCTTTAGCCAAGGCCCTAAATTTTCCATAGTCCAGGAATTAGAAAAAAAGCATCTAGATCTTCAACCGCTAGGAGAGGACCAGCATTACAGTTATAGAAATGATGCTTGACTTTGCCATGGTGATAACAAACATAATGCAATTTTTTATAACAAAAGACAACCCACATAGTGGGTGATAGAAATGTACCACGTTTTAGAGGAGAGTTAATGGATATTTGAACTTTCAATCAAATGTAGAAATCCTTTTCCTGGGAGCCACACATCACCCCTATCTTTTCCCCTATTGCATTTCTTATATCTGTGTCCATACGATTAAGGTAAGTCATGGATTTGCACCCAGACTTCCATCTCATGCAAAGAGATAGAAGACGAGACCTTGTTTACATTCCATTATTTCAATAGGACCCATTGTTCAAAGATGTACCATGAACCATCCAACAAGATTGAATCAAAGTCATGCAAATCTATAAAGAGCTATGAAATATCCACGTTGTAGAGGGAAGATTCTTACTTATTCCTCTGTCAATTTCTAGGCCACACGGAGGGATCGCCTAACGCAAATAAACTAGAAACGAATTTTAGGAAATAGATGACCAATGACACAATGTTGCCATTGCTCGAACGGGCTAGAGTAGGTCGTCCTCTAACATCCAAACCATTAACTCCGAGGTTGACTTCTTCACAAATGGCTTGCTTAAAAGCTTGTTGAAGTTCGTAAAGATTCTCCATGTAGGATAAAAGGCATGGACTCATAAGAGAGAACAACATAAGAAAAGACTTTGTCTTGAAGTAGCACCATGGCAACCAAACGAAAAAACTAAATGACTCAACAGACCCCACGCCCCACTAAAATACCCCATAAAGGACGAGAAGCCCTACCAAAAGCAAAGGAAAAATAACTCAATCCCCACCTACAGGGGAGCCTCAACTCAGAGAACCCAACTTGGGGATGCAAGACCCAAGACATAGTAAGAAAAAGCCCTACAAGAGAGAACAAGCTCGAATAGAAAAGCAAAAGGTTAGGTTTATATCCAATCCATCTTACCCAAGATTCCAATTATGTGATTAATATCGGGTAATAGTGTTTTTTCACCTCAAGCTTTTACTTTGTATTAGTGTTTTAAAAGCCAAACCAAAAACAAAATCACTTTTTCATCTAGGTGGTGAGCTAGTGGTTCAATTATCCGTGTCAAATAGGTCATATAAAAATATAGCTTGTACTTTGGGGACTGGGGGGTAGTGATACTTTGGTTCCTGAACTTAATTTCATTTGCTACAAAAGAGATGCTAGAGCCGTCAACCGTTAGGGTTTGATTCGGGACGTGGTAGAACCATTATGAACTGTTTGTTAAAACTGATAGTACTGGAACCAAATTAGACCCGATTGGTTCTATTATTTCAAAACCGGTACCGAACCAGTTAGTATTTGGGACAATCGGGTCTAACCCGACTAAACCCTAATAATACTTAAAGACCTATATTTTTTTTATAAGAAAAATTTATTCAATAACTTATTATTAGTAAATGTGACGAACCGGAAAATGGAAAGGGTTTTAGGTTTTAAACATGCCTAAAAATGGTTCAAATAGTTCGGGTCTGTGGGTAGACCTGACCCATTTTGTACATTCATATTCCAACACTTTGCTCCTACTATTAGCATTACGTAAGTTTTGAACTTTTACAAGACCATTTTGCCCTTTCCTTTATTTTTATTTCCAAAACCTGAGTTTTAAACTCTTCTAATATTTTCTATTTTCTTGTCATTTATTTAAGACCATTTTCTCTCTCCCCAACTCATTCAGAGTTTCAACCTGAGTTTTTTTTTCCCACTTGGATCATCCTATAGTCTTCACTTCCGTCCCTTCTACCTTTAGTACTTTTTTTTTTTGGCATTTGGTGATATGCACCACACTAATAACCCCCTTCTCCAAAGTTGGTGGTTGAAGGAATTGAATCCACATATATGTTGGAGACTTGAGTGAATTGGTTATATGCCAATTGAGCCCAATTGGCTTCTACCTTTAGACCACCATCTCTCTCTCTCTCTGTTCAAAACTTCGATAAGAAAAAGAAAAAGAAAAAAATCAAAACATAGGTTTTAGAGATTCAACAAATAAGAGAGGGAAATGGTTTTGTAGAAGTTCAAAATTGATTAGGATGCTAATGGTGGGAGTAAAGTATTGGATCTGAAAGTAAAGGATAGCTCTTTGTTTACCGTTTGGATCAGGTAGTTACAACGTTGTAAGCACAGTAAATAAATACTTAATTTTTTTTTGACACTTGTCCCTTAAATTACCCCCAGCCTACCCTTGAAAAAGATTAATACCCACTTTTGACAGTTGTCAAAATGTTTATCAAGTACTCATTTAACGTGCTTATTTTGTTGTGCCTACTAGATTCAGTCCCGTTTGTTTAGGGGCACAAGTGGCACTGCCCCTAAAATATAGTAAAGTTGTTATGAACTTATGAACTTATTATCACAGCCAAATTGAAACCCTAATTAGAGTGGCTTCATCGTATTGGTATTAGCTTGGGGTTCGCAACATGTAATCATTGAAGCTGTTCAATTCCAGCAGTGTTTCAACCTTTTGGAATATTGACAATAAAATTTGATGGAGGGTGATTTGGCCCGACCTCGTAGCATGGGTACACGTGGGCATGACCTTGCTCAAGCAATGACTCAGCGTGACAGCACAACAAGCACAACCGCAACTCGGTGGGAAGGGCTCACCGAGTTTAGTCTGGCAACTCGGCGGGTTAGGCTACTCGCCGAGAGCCGCCTGGCTTGCACCTCCTTCCCAAGGCTGAGGCGCTCCGAGCTACCTCCGAGCTTGGGGCCCCCTGACCTTTCCTAATGCCCGAGCTCCTCCTAGTGGATTTTAGGCCACTCCCAAACAGGAACACCCCGATCCGCCTCTAGATACCCCAAGGTAGAGACACATCGGGCCAGACAGCTTGGTGTAGCTTGCCACGGGCAGCTCGCCACTCGTAGGGTAGCTCGGTACAGGGTAGCTTGCAGAAGAGTAGTTCGACACATCACAGGAAGGCCTCCTGCCCGACCACCGTACCTGACAAGCCTGGAGACTACAACCACGTCTCTCGTCAGACAGTGTTGTGCCTGCCACCTTTAGAAGGTGTCTTACACCTGACATGTACGTACCCTGCAACGATGGCCCCGTGTGTGCCACCTCAGCCCTAGCTGTAACGGCTGCGGTAGGATGACAGTGGCGGTTATACTTGCCCTGTCAGAGATAGGTGGGCCTGATTCGATAGAGTTCTGTTATAAGTAGCCCAATCCCAAAGGACGTAGGTAACTTTCTGATACTCACGCTAGCTGCACTCTTAGCTTCCTTCCTCTCTTTGCATCTTTCACAAAACTCTAACTTAAGCGTCGGAGTGTTCCCACCGGGCAAGCCCCCGGGGATCTCTCGTCTTCTCCATCTCAGGTACCTTTCAGGAGCCACGCGAATGCCAGCTAGGAGTGATCGGATTGCGCACTATCAAAATTAAAAGATAAAAGTTGATTAGTTTTTTTTTTTTATATTCACTAAAATTAAAGGAAATATCTGATTTTTAAGACAATATTAAATAAGGTGATTAGGATTTTTTTCTTTAAACAAACCAATTTTCCGAAGAATCTTAGCAGAAGGTTTTATAGACAGAGTGATTTTCTGCCTCCTAGAGATTTCTAAATCCCTTCGTTGCCAAACGAAGATCGAGTTTCTAGTCATTTGTATTTTGTAGTTCTCCGACAGAACTCAGAAGTAGTCATGCCTTACTTCTATCCTCCATATCGTAGGGCGAAAGTCCAAACTCCGAAATCCAAACGAGTCTGATTTCAAAAATTTCTGAGCAAATACATCTTATAAATCTCGTTCTTTTCTTCTGTTCACATTCATGGAGGCACCGAAACCCTCGTCTCAGATGCGAGTCCTCGTTCGACCATCTACTTCGACTGCAAACACTTCATCTTCTTCCTCCACAGTCCCACTCGTTCCTTCTTCTGCTTCTTCAACAAACACACTAGAACTCCCCGTCTCTTCTTCACGTCTGCTCTCCACGAATTCATCTTCTTCGTCTTCGTCTGCGCCTTCCTCGTCAACGTTTCCACCGTCGTTGTCTCAGCCGGGACCTCCAGAAGGCGTTGTGGTTGTAGGTTTCATTGGAAGAAGGGAGGATGACGTGATTCAGTTGATAAACCGGATTCTTGACGCCAATGTCTTTGGATCAGGTAATCTCGACAAGAAGCTTCCTATTCGTTCGCGTAATCTTGGAGAAGAGGAGCTGGGAGAGGAGGTGAAGGATTGGTTTCAGCGTCGAAAAATCAGTTACTTTCACGACGAGGAGAAAGGGATTGTCTTTTTGCAGTTCTCATCCACTCGGTGTCCGGTTTTTGAAGAAGTATCAGAATTTTCTTCGGGATTGGATTCAGTGTTGGAAGACCGCGAATTTGGGGATCTTCAGGGAATGTTGGTTATGTTCTCTGTGAGTCATTTCAGTTCATTGCTTAAGTATTTTTTCCCCCCAAAGAGTGACATGCTTAATTTCTTTAATAATATGGAAACTAAGAACAATCAGCAATTATAAAGTTGAAAGCTTTCAACACTTAAAACTAGAAAATTAATTTCTCTCTTCTGCTAAATAATCTGCATCATGGTTTTATGTTGGAATAATATCTTACTGGGTTGTGGCTGTGACTAGTCCAAGAAATACAATAAAGGATTTCTCCCAGAACTATTAACTTTTTTCTAAGAGGTGATATTTTTTGAATTGATGTATAATAAGATTTTTACATAAGAATGCTTTTCATTGTGAAATGTGAACAACCTTATAGGCTATACTCCAAGAAAAAATAGAACTGTACTATCTTTACGCAGAAAGAATGTCTGGTAACAAGAAAGAAGAGCTGGGGATGTTCCTAAAATTGTTCTGAACTGATAGTTGGGAGAAAACGGTATCTATGGCCTTCCATTGAATCTCAGCCTCTGGATACTTTGGCTTCAAAGATTCTGGCAATTCTCTCCATCCAGACAACCAGATTATCCATATAACAGAAGGAGGGATGATGCCCCAGGCACTTTACCCCATTTTGAGGTCTTTTATTCTTCAATCCCCCATTGAAGCCAAGACAGGTCTGGGGCACCACCAACTGTAGCTAAATAATTGCAATAATCGGCCTTTTAGTTTTAATTTTGATTTAATTATACTAGTGAGTTTGAGTAAAAACTGTAGATTATTTTATTTTGGAATCAGATGGATAATCTGGTTAGCAATGCAGGTCTGCCATGTAATCATATTTCTTCAGGAAGGGTCGCGTTTCGATACCCAAATATTGAAAAAATTTCGAATGCTACAAGCTGCGAAGCATGCTTTGGCTCCATTTGTAAAGTTACACATAATGCCAGCACTAACCCCTAGGCCCTCCTCCTCCTCCTCACTACCAGCTGTTCCATTAAGCTCTTCTAAGAACTCTTCTCCTGGTAGAGGTGGTGGCGTCACAAGTCGCCATGCTTCAGCTATTTCACTCATGTCAGGTTTGGGTTCATATGCTTCTTTGTTCCCAGGCCAGTGCACTCCAGTAATTCTTTTTGTTTTTCTTGATGATTTCCCAGAGGGCTTAAGTCCTGGGTCCCATGTTGAGGAATCAACTGATTCCCTGCCTTCTAATCAGTCCTCTAGTATGAATGGTTTACCTAGGCTTAATTTGCCCACAAAGAGTTCAAGTTCTGTTGTTATGCTAGCACGTCCAGTGAGTAAATCTGAAGGTGGTCTGAGGAAATTACAGTCATCTCTTGATGCCCAGATCCGGTTCTTGATTAAGAAATGCCGTACATTGGCTGGTTCTGAAGCCAGTCATGCTGGATCAAGAGGTGGGAGCAATGCAAGTTTGGCACCTTTGTTTTCCCTTGAAGCTTCAAGGGCTGTTGCCCTGCTAGACAGATCAACAAATCAGAGAAGTGAATCACTGGATTTTGCTACTGGTATTATTGAAGAAGTTCTTAATGCAAAGGCATCCTCAGATACTCTTATGCTTGAAAGCCATGGCCAGAGTGCGAACAAGGAGGATATTCAATCTATAAGGGAGTTCATTTATAGGCAGTCTGATACTCTAAGAGGGAGAGGGGCCTTGGTGACTAACACCAACAGTGGGTCTGCTGCTGGTGTTGGTATGGTTGCTGTAGCTGCAGCAGCAGCAGCAGCATCAGCTGCATCTGGGAAGTCATTTAGTATTCCTCCTGAACTTCCAAGTTTGGAAGACTGGTTATCTTCTAGTCAACTTATTCTAGATGCAGTGCTCAGTGCCAGACATGGGTATCTTGATGATAATGAAATCAGTAAAAGAAAAGTTCTTCGAAGAAATGCTACAGCAACAAAGGTTGAGGGGAATGCACCTGCAGAAGTGGCTATTTCTTGGTTGGGAAGTGGTAGAGGCCTGAATATGAAATTTTCAACCTCGTGGTGTCAGAAAGTGCTCCCAGCTGCTAAGGAAGTTTATCTGAAAGATCTGCCTGCTTGTTATCCAACCTCCCTGCATGAGGCACAGTTACAAAAGGCTTTGCACGCTTTCCACTCAATGGTCAAGGGACCTGCTGTGCAGCTTTTCATGAAGAAGTTGGAAGATGAATGCACATCCATCTGGAGATCTGGAAGGCAGCTCTGTGATGCTGTGAGTTTGACTGGAAAACCTTGCATGCACCAGAGACACAACGTTGAGATTGATGGTTCACTTTTAGGTGCTGAGGTTAAGCCACATTCTAGCGGATTTGTTTTCCTCCATGCTTGTGCTTGTGGTCGTTCACGAAGACTGAGAGATGACCCTTTTGATTTTGAAGCAGCCAACATTACTTTCAACTGTTTTCCAGACTGTGATGTTTTGCTTCCAGCACTCCAACTACCCAAAGTGATTAATGCAGGACCTATTCAGCCCTCTTCATGGAGTCTGATTCGAGTGGGAGGTGCTAGGTATTATGACCCTTCTAAAGGCTTGCTTCAAAGTGGGTTTTGCTCTAGTCAGAAGTTTCTTTTGAAGTGGACAATCTTGCTGGAAAAACGGAAAAAAACAAATAGTTTGTCAGCAGGTTCAGCCCCAAAAGGATCTGTGACAAGATCTGAGGATCCCAAAGTTGAATCTGTTACAGATGAAGAAATAAGGAAAACCGGTGCTTCTCAGTTGCACCAGGCAGATGTGCGGACTATAGTAGTAGAAAATCAAAGAAAGCGCTCAGACAACATTTCTGTTGATGACCAAAAGATCAGTTTTGGTAGAGGTCTTCCAAATTTTACAATGAGAAAACCATTTTCTGAGGTTGTTGCTGGTTCAGCTGCTGTAGATTCAGCATTCCCTCCTCTTCAGCAGAGAAAGCAACATACCACGGGTTCGGATACGGGTATTAAGCAAAAGGATGCAAAAGATAGAAGTGATCAACAAGTCCATACAACTAGTGACTTTCAAGGATCCCAGAAATCTGAAGAACTTTCTTCTGCTCAAGAAAGCTCACATGGGGTTGAGAGTAATGGCTACACAGATGGTGATACATTTCTAAGGATAGGAAGCAATGTAGTCCCAGTACACACGAATGGTGGTGGAAAAAATAACTCGAGTGCCTCTTTGAAGCATGTGGTAGCATATGTAGGATTTGAGCATGAGTGCTCCTATGGCCATCGCTTCTTATTGACTCCAGAGCATCTCAATGAACTTGGTTCCTCATATTCATTGCCTGAAGAATCACAATTCCCTTCTTCTATAGAAAATTCAAGTCAAAAAGTAGAAGGACGACTCAACTTAAATAAAAATGGTGGACAAGAGAAGGTTAATTCACACTCCAATGAGATGATTTCTGCTGCATCAAATAAAGTGAAAACTTCAAATAGGTCAAAAGAAGCAGTTGCTAGTGGTAACCGACATTGGGATGGACTTGTACTTTTCTCAGGATCAGGGAAAGAACCAGGCCAATCCTCTAATGAGCTGTCAGCGCTCCCTAAATCTTTAAAAGACCTTGAAGAGAGCCTTCAATCTGTTACACTTGATGATGATGGGTCTGCATTTTCCCTTTTGAATAGGAATTTGCCCATATTCATGAACTGCCCACACTGTAGAATATCTAAAAGTGAGAAAGATCAGAAAAAGATCAAGTTTGCCAGCACTATATCACAGCTCCAAAGGATCTTTCTGGTATAAAATCTTTTTCTTTTTAAATTCTCCACATAATTAATTTGCTATTATTTTTGTATGTTAGTAATTGATTACATTGATGCTGAAATATGTTAGATGTTTAATCCTACATCTTCAGCTTTATTGTTGAGCATCAGTGGGTGATCTTCTGGATTATTGTTGTCACCCTTCCTGTTTTTTGATGAGTATCACTTGTCCTTTTGTTGTTCTCCAAATGTTTGAGTGTTTGAGAAACTTGAACCTTACTTTTTTTCCTTAAATACTTTGATGGAAATCAAGAAGGGAACATTATTGACTTTTCTCTGACAGGGTTTCTTGCATGAAGAATTGGTTTACCAAAATGGTTTATCTAAATGGGAAAATGCTAGCAAAAAAAAAAAAAAAAGGTTATTGTCATGCTGTATATGCACCAAGCTGTCACAATTGCTCCTTTTCTCTATAATGGTATTTGTTTTAACTTTTAACTAAGACCAGTTTTGAAACTCTGTTCAAGCTAAACACAACTTGAGTTAGTCCTGACATGAAATGAAACCTTTTGTTCACCTATAAAAAAAAACTTTTGTTCTTTCTCCCCCTCTCCTCTTTCTGTATCTGTTGATTCATGGACCATGCAAATCCTTTTGAATCCAAAAGGTTATCTAACTATGATCCCAACTTAGATTTTACTGATGCCTTCAATTCTTTGTATATCTCTCTCTCATATCAACTGTCTCAAATGAATTGATGCCTTCAATTGTGATGCTTGTAACTCTTCACCCTCTTGATTAATAAATGGTTTAGCTGACACGTTGGCCAAACAAGGGACTGTGAGGGAGAGTATGTTCTGGGCAGTTTTGTAAGAAAGATTACTGGGGGCTCAACACCTACTTAGGGGTTGACAGCTGTACTTAAATCTGGAAAGTTATTTAATGAAGTTACCATTTCCAATAAAAAAATTAATAAAATTTTTATTCAATTGTGATATAATTTGTTTCCTCCCATGATGGTATGATATGATTGAAGAGCTGAGTTTAGTAGTAGGATATGCCACCTGATATAATGACAAAATGTAGGCCTTCTTTGTCTGACTTCTCTTTTTGATTGCACAATCATTGTTTTTTGACTTTCGAGTGCCATTTAGGCATTTATTTAAAATTTTTTTTTCACCTTGCTGATGAATCACTGATGATTCAAATGGTAGACTGGACTTAGAAAATTGCCTTGGTTTGAACTTTGAACTATTGAAGCTTATTATTTTGTTTTGCATCAAGTATAATAATTAAAAGTAGGATCTCAAACGACATATACAAGGATTTGACATGGTAATGAGGCTAAAATCCTTTACAAAATATACATGTATGGGCCTCTGTACATAAACATAAAAATACAAAAAATGGTAGCACCTCACTGATTCTTGAAACAAGCAGTGTTAAATACCCAGAATTCCTTTAAGATGGAGCTAGCACGTTCTGGTGGCGCTTGAACACTAAGACATTATTATTAGATAAACAAGATCCCTCCAGTTTTGAACAGTTATTCAGATCAAGGTTCAAAATATTGATACACCCTGATATGGCAGAAGGGTGCATCAATACTTTGAATCTTATGTTTTTCTACTATATTTTTCTTCAAAAATTCGGCATTAGGCTAAGCACCATTTCTTAAAAACACCTTTAAATAGGTTTATTGGAGGGTGAAAGATACAATATGATACACCCAATATGGGGCATATTGTATCAAAATTTTGAACCTTGATTTAGATGATTTCCAAGGCCAGAAAACACTGGCTGATGGATAATCAAGAGAATAGATAGAGAGGGATGAACTGTATTGGAGTCTAGGAAACCAGGTGAAATAGGATGGAAAGGTGAAAGTCCTACTAGGATGAACATGCAACATGGTGGGTGAAGAAAGAGATTCACAAGGAATTGACAAAGATGTAAATCAGTCCTCAAATATCAAGAACAAATTTAGGGATTAGAAGAAGTAAAGAATAGGTCTGAACAGCTATACAGGAGAAGAAGATGGCGAAAAGAGAAGGTAAGAGAAGGAGTCGAATTAATCTCCATTCTCCTCTAACCCTATTTTATTAAGATCTAAAAATTAGATGATGACAAGAATGCC